CCACCATACCCAGCTAATTTTTTGTATTTTTAGTAGAGACGGGGTTTCACCATGTTGACCAGGATGGTCTCAATCTCTTGACCTCGTGATCCACCTGCCTCGGCCTCCCACAGTGCTGGGATTACAGGCTGGAGCCACCGCTCCCGGCCTGGTTCACCAGTTTTGTTAGACTCCTGTTAGCTGATATACAGTGGTTCAGGCCTGCTTCCCTTGGAGTGGAAAATATTGTACAGTGGGTGACAAACCACTAGCTGCAGGGGACCTTTACTGATTTCATGCTCCTAAAAGTAACTCTGTTCTCTTTCCTTCTCCTCTTCTTCCTTTACTACTGAGGCCTCACTTCCTCTAATTTTGCCATGTGGCAAATAGCCCTAGGCCTGTCTCTTTTTATTCTCTTATTATAATCATTGTAGCCTGTAGATTCTCTCGGCCACCCGCTCTGGGACAGGAGTATTTCTGCCCATGTTGGATATAATATCTTTTTATAAGCCTTCCTCACCCCTAGTTATCCCGAAACAGAGAGTAAATGATGAGTAATCAGGAGTCCCGCCTAGACCCCAAGTCGCCATTGGGATGTCTAGTCCAAAATTTACCCAAACTGGGCCTTTCCATAAAAAGGAAAAGGCTGCTCTTCCTCTCCACCGTGGCCTGGCCACAGTACTCTCTGGACAACCAGTCTAAGTGGCCTCCAGAGGGCACACTTGACTTCAATGTCCTGACAAATTTAGATAACTTTTGCCAAAGAAACAGCAAGTGGTTGGAGGTCCCCTATTTCCAGGCCTTTTGATATCTGTGCTCCCGACCCGCCCTCTGCTCCTCTTGTTCCTCCGCCCAGGTCCAGTTAGCTAAAACCCCGCCTGTGCCCTCAGCCCCTCCTGGCTCTGTGATCTCCAAAAACCTGGAAGACCTGTCCTGCCCCACCCACTTTACCAACCCTCCTCCTTATGCGGGGCCTCAACTCCCTCCTCCCTCTTCTCCTTCTCCTCCCCAAAGCCCTAATATAACTTCCCGTCAGTGCTTGCACCCACTCTCACGACCCCCAACTCCTCTGCCCTTTGTGTGAGGTAGCCGGGGCCGAGGGAGTTGTACGAGTGCATGTTCCGTTTTCTGTCTCTGACCTATCGGCTATGGGGAAGCGCCTGGGGTCTTTCTCCACTAACCCAACTGCCTACACCAAAAAGTTCCGCTATCTAACCCAGGCATATGACCTAACCTGGCATGACACATATGTAATCCTATCCTCCACCCTCACCCCGGACGAGCGAGACCGAATTCTTACAGCAGCCCGGGCACATGCTGATCAGGTACATCTAACCAACAGTAAAATGCCAGTAGGCGTGGCAGCGGTCCCTCAGGCCGACCCTAATTGGGACTATCAAACTGGTCAAGATGGCCGCTGCCGCCGAGACCAAATGCTACA